CACAGCGTCAACGGACACCATGATTAGACCGCCGTTCCGAGTAATTTTCTCGTCTCTCTGCCCCGGAAGACCTCACAACATTTGATATCCGTCTCGACTATCCGTCAAAATGCCGCAATCTAGGCACTCGTACTTTCACGATGGAACTCTCTGCGGAATCACTCGCGGAACCCCCGCAGATTTTCTCGGGGAATTCCTGACAGGAAGACAGCCGGCTCTAGCTGCAGAATAATTCTCTCTCGACTCAGCATAAACCTCAAGAGAGCCTTTGCACGCCCCGCTCTTCAAGCCCTGTCGGGCTCTCCGGAAAGTTGTCGATGATTTCGACCGAATCCGGCGCCGCGTCAACTGAATGACTCATGATGCTGAATGAGGGCGCGACCTACGGAGTGAGTTTTTAAAGAGAGGTGGTCTCCCGAGTTGAATGCGATGAATTACGGATTTTAAGCGTCCGATACCACCTGGTGCGACTTCGATCGAGTTGGGACGCGGCGAGTCAGGTCCGAGAGTCGAGTCAGGAGATGTACAGAAGGGGCAGAAGGCAGCACTCCGGATGAAGTCGCGAGAAGAGTGCTGCTCAGCCCCTAAGGTTAGCGTGCTCTGTCTACGCCTGGGGACTTGCGTTGCCGGATAAATCATTTGATCGTTGATGTCCCGTGCGGGAGCTCGCTGCCTCGAGAAACCGAGAAACGGCTACCCCTGAAAATCTCTGTTCTGAGCCGGAAAAATATGCAGGTACTCGGCCTTGATCCTCCTGAGTACATTTGCTCTATGGATCCGTCCTGGGAAGCAATGTGAATAACGGTACCCGGGACGTTAAACCTTGGCTGTGTGGTCCAGCCCGAAAAAGTTTTTTTTGATCTGCGCAAAGGAGCTGAGGGCTGCTATCGCCAAGCTGACCCGGGAACCTCGGACTTCTTCAAAGAATCGATTCCGGACTCTAAACTCACAGACACCCGGCTCAGATTCGTTCCCCAGGCTTGGATCCGATGGATCCCTCCTGAATTTTCAGAGGATCACAAAGAAATTCCCGAGTCAATGACGAAATCGTGTCGAAAGACCTTCAGGGCTGCCAAGGTTGACGAAGATCCTGTTCGATCGCCTGTGGAGGACTTGGAGCAGGAAATGCGGAACATTCCCTCAACAAGTTTGAGGGGCTCCCCGGATGACGACGAAGACAGTCTCCGCCAACGGTAATAGGGATTTCTCAACAATGCGCTCCGCGAAACCGAGCCAGACCACCAGACCTCGGTTGGATCTTGACTGTCTGCCTGATTCCGAGCAGCCGGCCGGCTGCGAAGCGGTAAGCCGCGGACGCAATCCCCACAACCCGCAACGCAATCCGGATCTGAATTGTAAATTTTTGAGGAGAACGACGAGAAACGGGGAGACGCCGACAAAAGAAGGAGCTGGAGAGCAAACTGGAAATGCCCAACCAGTTACACCAGACGCGTTCCCAAAGCCCAAGAGACTCCGGTCAGGATGAGCCGCGAGGAGGGGAGGCGGGGGGTGAGGGGGGGGGGAGAGGACCCCGAAGAATATTTTGGGGAGAAATTTCCATGGAGAAAGAATTGCACACTTCCATCGGCGAGTATGTGGCTCCTGATTCTCGTTGACTTGCTCTCTCCCGTGAACGGGTGGCCTTCGACAAGACTGCGAATTATTCTACTGGCGAGATTCCCCACCGCCGGTTTCCTCCCGCCCAGGGGGAATGGAACCTTCGCAGCAATTTTCCAGGAAGTTGTCCGTTCACACTGAGTCCCTCTCTGACGATGGGTAGTATTCCCAGAGACGTATGCGACGACCGACCCAACTTTTTTTCAAGAGCCGATGCAGCTCTCGCTTCTGATCCTCTACATGTCGGACTTTCGCGAAATCTTCATCAACTTGCCTCCCTCGAATGACCCGAGCTCCCCTGTCCTATGAGCTCTGCTGGCGTCGATATCGTAGAAGACGCGGGCTGCGATGCCTGTTCTGATATGCCGAAGCTTAGTTCTACTTCAACAGAGCGTTCCCGCAGAAGCGGCATCAACAGCGTCGTCAGGGCAACACACATCCTCACGCACACGCAGGCGATTTGGTGCGCAAACAGAAACGAACAAATATGCCAGAGTGCTATGTGCTCTCGCGTTCTTTCGTTCGTTTGCCTGTGCGTGCTTACGTACGAACGTTCCTAGTGTGTACCGGCAGGAAGAACTGAAGAGCGCGGACGAGCTGCGCCTTCGGCCCGTCCGGGATTACGGGATCACCGTCAAGAGGATCTTACGAGAGGAGGCCGGCCTGTTTTCCACTGGAGCGGGAATGGGTTTGGGAACGCGCTGACGGACGAGACGGAAGGGCACAAGAAAAAAGAGGAGACGTCAAAAACGCAAATCGCAATCTCAACAGGGGATGCGGCCTAGATCATGGCGCGAGATGAGATCTGCTATCCTTCGCGGAATCGCCCGTTCTCTTCCGCTGAACGGCATCCCACCGAAAAGGGCCGTTGCTCGTTGATGTAAAGACGAACCGAAGACCTACTGTCTGCTGAAACTTTGGCAGACAGGGAAGCGCGCAAGCCTTCAGCCTGAGGGTTGACTGTGGACCTCGATCACGTGAAGGCGTTCCGTGTCATTGTCGCCGGCTTCCGTACACCTTTGTTAGCTGAATCCGTTCAACGGCAGCCGCGAGAAATTGGTCGTCTCATCTGTGTGCGAGCTGGTCACGCCATCGCCGACTCTGAATCCAGTCCAAGGGATTCACGCCGATGCCCCAGCATCGACTCGAGGAATACGTCGCCAGCAGGGAGGTATACGTGACTATGACATCATCGGCTTGGCGTACCCGAAGGCACTGATCTTGTGAGTTTTCCGCGGATTCCGCTATCCTCTTCAAAGACCGCGGACAGCGCTGAAGGCCCTTGTTGGGCAAGAGCGGTTGTATTGCTCAAAACTCTTGGAACGATCCCTGGAAACCTTGTCAAACCTGAGCTGGTAAGCCAATTCGTTGAGGAACTTCGAGTGTTTTCTCCTTCTGACCGATTCGCCGGATATAGAACGCGGCGGGTATTACTGGCAGCATTCCTGGAGACCATTCCTCGTGGAGTCTGTACCCATTGGAGCGGACTGGGTAGGAGAATTCCTCATCGAATACCTCATCGAGATGTGATTGAGGACGCTAGAGATGGCAGACGTGAATCTGGCACAGAAGATTAAACCACTCCCGTATGGGAAGTTCGAGAGCATTCGAGCATCGGAAGTGTTATCGAGCCTAACCGCGGTAGCGCGGACCTTGTTCTGGAGGCATCCACGGGTCGTCTCATCTCTGGAATTTATTCGTGGGCGCTCCAGAGGCAAATATCCCTCTCAAGCGAAATTTCGACAATTTCCTGAGGTATCCTGAGCCCATATCTTCGCTCTTGGGCTTGCTCCTACATGGGATGTCTCTCTCGACGAGACGGTATACCTGGAAACTCGGGACCCATTCGCTCGATCGTCACTATCGTGAACTGATGAGCGTTCTCGGGACCCTCGGGGTTCACGGTGATAGATTCTCCGCAGGTTATGGGGAACTTTTTCTCCGCTTCATTTAAATGTAAATCGGACATTGCTCGAACGCTCAAAGAGGAGAATCAGAGGAACTCATTCGCCCCGTTCGCTTTAGCTCTGCGAGAGACTAATTCGAGGCGCAATGAGCCTTCTCCACGCAGGATCTTCTTTTTCTCTCTCCTTTCGCCCTATACCCTCGTAACAAATGGAGGAGAGACGGAGGATCGCAGGTTCCATACAATTACCGCACCTTCAGTACTAAACTCTATGTTCTCATTCTATTGTTCCGTTGCGCTGAGGTTTCAAGCGAGCCATACTTACGGGGCCTTTTTCGACTCCCTCGATTCCATTCGACGGGAACAGACAGATCGCTCATATGGGTTCCTCGCAGATACGGGTTCCTTGCGGGAAAAGAAAAACCAGTCCCTCGAGAAGAGTGAAACTCTAGGTTTGTGATTCGTTCACCGTCTCAGTCTGAGCGGATCCATTAGTCCCGACGCTGAGATTTGTCGACGTTGCCCGAGCGGCACATACGACGTTTTTTTCCTCCCCATTCCTCCGCTTTCTCGTCGGATCCAGAGCTCTGCGAGCAAGCTCTGCGACTCGCGCACTCCATCAAAAAGTGCCGACGACTCAAATCCGTCACCGCTCGCTGTCCGTAAGGCGCAACGCGCAAGTGGCTCCTAATCTCAAAAAGAATCAAAGTTTACGAAACGTTGGAAGTTTTTCTCTCTTCGGCCGTCGAGAAGAAATCACGGAGTAACGTAATCCGAGATGCCTCAATCTGCATTCTGGCGGCGCGTTTCTGCTCGGGAATTGGACTCTAAATCAGATCAACTTCGGATCGTTCATCCCCCGTATCCTCTTCCCTTTTTTTTTTTATTTTTCTAATACAACCCTAGTTTATTCAAACTGTACAAAACAAGAACAAAAAATTGTAGTTTCCACGAGGGCAGAGCCCTGTCCGTGGTTCGGGTGGAGACATAAAAGTTTGCCAGAGGCCGAGAGGGAGAGTGACCAACACCTTGGAGAGAGATGAAGCTAAGGGAGCAGCAGATCTACATCGATATTATTTAGGGTATTCAAGAATGATTTGATATTTCTTTTCCTCTCTGAGATCCGGCGCTCTGACCAGGTCTTCAGAGAGTCAGGGAGCGAGTTGTACACGGCCATGTATTGAA